CTCTTTGACAGTTTGAAGCTATGAACAATGTTTATGATAGCAGTTGGCGTCACAGACCTCCAAGAAAAGTTAAAAGGTACAATTGGGTCTGATTTAAGACTATTTTCTACATTATCGGTACTAGTTGGCGGTACTTGGCGTTAGGGATGTGCTACAACCCCCTATGAGTTCCTCTACAGAATTTACAAAATATTAATTAAACTCTTCGGCTTGGGCAAAGGTTTTGCCACTAACAGTGGGCTTTGATTTGGTGGCTTTAATAAAATCCCAAGCTGCTTTACAAGGATTTGCTGCATTTGAGATAGAAGCAGCCACTGAAGCCTGCTTAGCCTCTTTTACTTTTGTTTTGTAATTTGTTCTTAAATTCTTTAAATAAGGAATTAGAATAGGGTTGTTCTTTGACAGATCACTTACAAATATAACCAAATTCCTTAACCTAGATAGTTCAGGACCAAACCAGTCAGAGGAGTGTGTTTTTCTATTACTATTTACAACACCTGCCTGAGAAGTTTTCCTCTTAAGAGGAATTCACAAGTCAAAGGCATGTTTTATGTTGTCAAATAAACAATGAAAGGCCTCATTAGCAGTAAGGTAGGGCAAAGTCTCGCACCATAAGTCAATATGCGTTGATACCATATCATTGAAATACTGGACATTAGAGGGGTTAAATACTCTAAAACTAACCTCAGGGCTAGAATTGGTGTCTAATAGTCTGTTTTCAGCAATAGTACCACTGGATTCAGTTTCAATGGAAAGGAAGACTAAATGTGCTGGTGATCTGCAATCTGTTCCCGGCTGACAGCTGCTTTGTAGTTCCAGCGATCAAAATTGGAGATAAATGTGTCCAACGAAGCTTTCTCTCTTGTAGGTTCAATTATGGTACAGTAGAGATTATAACTACGGAGTAAATTTAAAAAATCGGTGACCTCGCTTTTTTACGTTGACTTAAATTGTAAGCTTACCTTTTTCCGTCCATGGGCAGTTTGATTGTTAAAAATTAACCCTTTAAACTGGAATAGGACTGTTATGTAAATTGTGAATATTTCCATGAGTTAATAATATTTTAGCCGACTCTTTTAAAATCATCGGAAATTATGACTAAGTTAGTCAAAATTAAGTTAGTCTAAGTTAGTGGAAATTATGATTAAGTTAGTTTTAAACAAGTTATTTGGTTATAAATAACTCCTGTACTTCTTTGCAATTGCTCGATTTCGAGCAACACGTACACTAGTAGGGAATAAGTATGTCTTATTTATGGAAATATTTAAGTAAAAATGTAATCAGACAAGTTGTAATTCGCTTAGTCTGCAGATTTGCAGCGGCGGGGTATTTTAAATCTTTATTAGTTTGGGCAGGATCTTCCATCAAAGTTGGGGTTTCTCCCATAAGATTAACATGGGGGAATCTCAATATTTAATTGGCCACTTTGTCTCCACTAAATTGAGAGTAGGTCTGGGCGTAGAAACTTGGTAGAGGTGTCCAAAGAAAGGTCTCGGCCTGGAGATGAGCCATCAAAAGAAAAACGAGGTAAATTCCCTTAGGCATCTGCCCCAGAAGCCTTTAAAGCTCCCTTCCCAGATTTGTTTACATTATTGCCATATGGATAATTTTTCACTACTTATTAATGAAACAGCTGTTATCTATATGAAATCTATCTATCTATCTATATATTAATAGGCAAGCATGTTTATTTCAAACCTTTTTTCTCAGCTCGTGTGCATCGTAGGGAAAATCTACACATACCGTTAGAAAGCTATATTCCTGTAGGTGTGCAGAGTTCCTTTATAAATTCAAATAGGCTCAAAGATAAGCACAAAAAATGAATTTGAAATTAACAAAAAATGTACATGGGCTTTATGGCTTCATGGGCCATGCTGGTGACGAAACAACAACTAAATATAAACAAAAAATCAAAACAAATGTAAGAAATTCCAATCACATGTTTTATTTAGAGTGTGAGGTGAAAAATCGACAAGTCTGTACAGTGCAATTGGATTTTTTTAGCTAAATGTGGTTAAGGTGTGCTGGAATATCTTTGAAGATGAACCTTTTTAGTGATATCACGTGTTCATTACGTGTCAAATTTTGAGGTTAAATCAAAACAAAAAAACTGGCATAATATGTTCTTGGAATTTGACAATACAATAGTTAAATATACTTACTCTACTTTAATAAAATCCCTTTGTCATTAGATAATATTTACTGTGAAATAGAGACATAATTCCTAACTCCAAATCAACTAATGAATAAATTGTTATTTAATTATTTATTTATTTAATTAAGTGATGGTTGCTTTGAAAATAAGTAATTTAACATGAGCAGATATTAAAATATTAAATCTTCTTGCAAAATTAATGTTGATCATTAAATTAATAGAATAATATAGTTGCTGTGGCTGGGATACATTTAAAATAACTGTTGGGACATAATGATGATTTAAGATTCGGAAAACATTATAGATAGGCCAAGGAAGCAAGTTTCGAGTTTAGTTTAAAAAAATGCAGTGGACTAAATAGTGAATGTTTTCTAATAAATCAGACAATGACATATACTAAATTAATTTATTTGATCTTAAATGTAATTTTTTTCTTAAGTAATACAATATTGTCCCCAATTGACAACATGCCAGTTTGTTTGTATTGATTTGATTTGACCTCAAAAATTTACATTTGAACATTGAACACATGATCGCACCATTGGTGTATATAACCTAACACAATCGATGTTAGTTTATATACATCGATGGATCGCATTCTCCACAGCCTACAGCTAAAAAGGTTCATCCGCAAAGATATTCCACCATGATACCTCAACCACTTCTAGCTAAAAAAATCCAACTGTATATATTTATGGTCGAGTTTTTGACCACTGGACGACCTCTAGCTGTATTTTAAACCACACACATTAATAGAGAGTTTCTGAATTAGCCAAAAATAAGTATTTGCAATGTTATTTCCTTCTTCTTCTTCTTTGATTTTAAAATTTATTTTCTTCTGCATCATGTCATGTTTTGCAATATAACGTGCTATTACGAAATCTGTGGAAAATTCTTAATATCACAGTAACTCTTAAGATTATTTCTTATTGAATTTTCTTTGATCTATATCTGTTTTAAGCAGCTATTTTCATGACAAAAAGGTCATGTTCCTTTTAAAATAGATCTCATCGTCCTTTATGAGATACGTTGGTTATCAACAATGCATGTAAACGTCGCTAATTATGTAGGCTAACACCTATTTTACAGGTATTTGTTTTTTTGAAATGCATCATTGCTATGTCATTTCAAATCAAATCAAATCAAATCAAAATATCTTTATTTTCCTTATATTATGTACCTGTATTTGCATTATTAATTTTGCTGACAATGAAGCCACCCGACAATATGAACGAGGCCCCTAACGTTTAATGAATAAAAGCCAGCATCACTGCAAGTATAGTAACTACACCTAACTTTCCGAAGAGAGAGATTATATTGACAACTTTATGTAATTGATAAAGCTGAGACGGATTGAGATAGTTAAGAAATTATTGAGACAGCTGATATCCGCATGTCAAGTCATTTCAGCCAGTAACCGCACGACCAATTAATTTATCAAAACAATGCTAGAGGGTTATTCATTGGCACAGAAGTACCGTCGTGACGAAGGAAAAAATAAAACTTACACAGCTTAAGGGTGGTAAACATTGCTCTCGTGTGCAGCAAAGGCCTTTTGCACTCGTGTTACACATTATATTTTTCCTCTATAAAGCATATAAATAATTAGTCTTTCAAACACTATACAACACGTTTTTAGGTTCAGCAGGCAACACAAATAGGTCCCCTAGAGAAAGTAGTCACCGGTTCGTATCACTCTGCTATTTTTTCCTCGGCAAGCAATGTGCTCCGTGACTTGAGAAAATAGTGCAATATGTTTTTGTCATTTGAAGTGGTTTCCGTGCCTAAAAAAGGTATTTTCTTGTTTATTAGGATCGTAGGAATGTTTTAAAAACGTTTAAAAGAAAAGTCCAGAAAGTTCATAAATAACGAAACTATATACACGAAATGACAGGTTAAATCGTAGTTATAATAGTCAATCAGCTGCTCATAGTATTACATTGTTGCCAACCTATTTCCAAGCGTATACACGGATTACGTGCATAATAGAACCACGCTGTTTTGTGTTGTTTCGTTGGAATCCTAATGTGCGCCAAAGTATAAACCGTACGACAAAGTATAAATATGCAGCAATTAGCAGCTTTCTGTACTATAAACAGTACAAGGAAGCCAACTTTGTCGGGTGACTGTAGGAAAAATAATTTTGTATATTGAAGTGTTGTTGTATGCTTAATGGTTACGGAGAGGATTAAGACAATTGTAAATTTAAAATAATTCATACTAAACTATCAACATTTCAATAACAAAAAGAATAAACATAGTATAACATTCTGTTTTTGTCCTCTGAGGGCAATAAAAACATCTAAAACCATAGGTCTTACCACGAGACCTGAAGTGATTGCTTATTAATTGCTTGAAGATGTACAGTATATAGTATATTATATATATAAATATATATGTATGTGTGTGAGTGTGATGATGTGATGATATATATATATATATACCCTATATATATATATATATATATATATATATATATATATATATATATACATCATCATGGACGGTGTGTTTTTGAAACCATTTCTATTTTAAATGCTGACAGCCTCTTTTACCGGTGCTCATAATTCCATGAACCTGTCAGGTAATTGACAATAAACCATTTCAAGAATGTGGCTATCTACATCATCAGAAATATGATAATAGTTTTAGCACATTAATATAGGGTTTCTTTAGACACGTTACTACATGGAATGTGAGCGCAAGATGTAGACTGGCGGCCCTTGAACGGATATGATAATACTTTTTGAAATATTTATTTCGGTTGCTGCCCCCACTCATCATTGTGTACAGTTGCCAAGTGATCAAAACACGCCCATTGTATACCTGTGATTTTGTGTGGCAGATGGAGGGCTGCTATGTGCCCAACAACCCGGCGCACTACGGGCTGGAGCCGCACGGGGGGTGTACCGCCCCCGGTGCCGTCTCCGCCATCCCCGCCGCCTCCGCTCAGTCGCTCTGGACCGACGACATGGGATCCTTCTCGCTGCCGCCTCTCGATCTGGACCCGCTACCCAGCCTCTTCCCCTTTAGTCCCAATAACTACAAGTGAGTACTCAGTAGGTCCATTATTGCTATATGTATCCAATGCCCTGTTATTGCATTTATGTATTTTGTTATTGTTCTTTTATCTATTAATTACAATTTTAAGGCTTGAATCGCCAATTAAGGCTCACATTGGCCCCTTTGTTAAGCATCTTACCATCTGACTCATAAAACTCGTCGGGGCGATGTTGAAGGGATTCGCAGCTCGGTAATCCTCTCATTTATTATCTCATGTACTGTATGTCACAGGTCTTTAAGCTCAATGATATACCAAAATGTTAAATTGATGAAACCTTAAAGTTTGTAATTTTAACTTGAATGGTTTATGAAATAAGTTGTTTATGTATCAATAGTTCGTATTTAGCTCGTGTATCGTTAATTACCTAAACCTTTTATCGGACCTATCTATTCTATCTAACTTCATTTGATGTACAGTATTTACAACACCATTTTGGCAATTTTTCAACACCACGGTATAATAACTGCACGCTGAGTAAAAACAAAATAATATTGTAATGCAATTTGATGACAATGAACATATTATTGTAAAGTGTGAAATAAATTGGCCAAATTTGATCAAATTCTAAACAAGCTAACTACAACAGTTTACTTTTTCTCATAGAAAATAACATTGCAATGATAAACGTACGGGTTTTCTCCGTATCTTTTAATCCTTTAATGACACCCTAATTTTGTACAATACAGATAATTTTGTAACAATATATACACAATTACCTGTTTATATAAAAAAAACTCTGCAATGGTTGTAATGAAATTTGGTCATTCATGTTTTAAAATTTGAAAAAATAACCCATTATTTCGAAAATACTTCAAAACCCTACAACACCCCGTTTCCATGAACCGACCTGGCTCGTTTGCAAACTCATACAGCCCTGCACAGTTCACATTTATGGTAAATTTCATCAAAATCGGAACCAAAATTACTTGAGTTTTTCTGTTCAATGGCACACCCACACACACACACACACGCATATATACACGATGAGTCTCGTAATATGTCTACCATTTATTTCAGACAAACCTACATTATATTGTTGGAACACCGATAGTTTACCCTCTAAAGAAACCTAAACGAACGGTTTGTACCAAGTGTTTTCAAAATCGGATCACTTTTGCTCCAGTTTTGTTTTATATATTAGCCTATTAGTCCAGTCAGCAGGTGGTTTTAGATGGAAAAAGGTCGGAAGTTAATGAAACTTGGGGATGTTGTTCAGGGATGATAAATCAACATTTTCCCAAGTTTTGGACCTCGAGGACCATGTTAAATTAGATATTTGGGAAAAACTTCAAACATTTCAATTTTTTTTCTTTTACTTCAATAACTTTTTCTCTTACTTCCTACCGAAAAAGCATACCTTACACTTTTGCAGAGCGTTAAATTTCCTACAATTCTATATTTCAAACATTTTTGTACGATAATTTGTTACCGAGCAATAGTATTTTCATATTAATGTATTTTTTTTTAAATCCAACAAAATATGCAAAAAACAGAACTCCAACTTTTTTTCTATTACACACAAATTATCACGAAATCTTTAAGTAATTATGGTTCCTAGTTATAAGAACCATCCCTGGATACCCCCATATCCCACCTGACCAAGGTGGCTTCCTACACCCATGTTTGGTGCTCCCTGGGCCCCACGGTTTCACACTACCACAATATTACATTATCTTCTACGTATTATAGAAGATTTCACAATTGTAATTGATTAGTATGTATATACCATCACCATCACATCCATCAGTCTGCAAGGTCGTTAGATGTTTATTTTCTGTCTTCACTCATTTTTGCCTTATATACTCTGCCGTGTTGCCACACTGCCGCGCTGTGTAGCTTACATTTATATATTAGTTTTAGTCTCGTTTGGTTGGTAGTCTACCAGAAATGCTCTTCACGCGGGCTATGAAGAGCTATGGAGGACTCACTTGTGGACGCGGAGTAAGCGATTCTGTGCTTTGTGTACATTGGGCACGCTATGTCTTTAACGCATTTGTGACCAAGTAGAATTGTTTGCTGATGTTCGCTCAGAGACAGCTGAGCAGCATTTATACATGATACCAACCCATGTAGTGAGAGACAACATGGGCATTGATAAACTGCTCGCATAGTTGACATTCCCAATTCCCTCACATCCAGGAGATTTATTTGAGCACATGAATCATTGGTCCTGGCGAAGTTGACTGTCACTAAGCCCGGAAGATCGGGAAATCATGCATGAAGAAAATGGTGATGTTCAGAAAATGGTGAGTGAATATTTTGAAGAATTTAAACTTAAACAGAAGGATAGGTTACTCTCTTACTTCCGTTTCATGCTCGTTGAAATTGCTGGTAAATAACTCACTGTCGATCCTCTCACTCTTTTCCATTGTGTCTGCATCGCAAAAAGATCTGAGAAATGTATAAATAAGCTCTTTAAGATTGATCTCGACCCCTTCCCTAAATAAATCATTACCGAGGAAGGAATGCGCAAGGGAACAAAGTCCGTAATGTACACACTCTTCATTAGGCGAGCCTGATGATGTTTGGAGTGTCCAATCGAAATCGATCACCACTTACCATCTTTTTTGTATATTTACCGTCTTGTGAGTAACAGTATAAGCGTAAATATATGTTTTAAGTGTTATAAGACGTTTCTTTTATTTACTTTCTGTAATACTTAATATTATTGATATAAACCACGTGATTAACAATTTCTCTGTTTGTACTTTATCAAAATTGTGGACTTTTATTGATGAGTTAATACATGTTTTAACAGCATATCTATAGAAAACTATCATTCTCTTAAAGCGTTCTCTTCCCGTAGCGGAGCACGGGTATGGCGGCTAGTATACCCATAAGCAAGCAAACTACAACAGTTAACTTATCCATCTATCTATATATCTATCTATCTATCTATCTATACTATTATAAAATCGAGGTTGGGTCTGTAGCTGTCACGACTAAAATACTAAACCGATACAGCAAAACTTAAGCACAAAAATATGCTCCACATGTCTAGGAATATCTTAGACCTAATTCACTTCCCCGAGTTCCTCTCAGGCTACGCCCCTTGGATGTCCAATGTTTTGAGGTGAGTTCCCAAACTATTTAGTGGCTTGCAGGGACATAAGCCTCTAAAAGCTTAAATGAAAAGCAAGTCGTTGTAATATTTAAACAAAATAAGAATCAAATGATCTTTGGGTCACGATAGATATCCCTCTACACCAATCTTTTGTAAAAAAAAACAACAAAAAACAGTCTCTTTGTTTGCTTTGTGTGTTGTTATTTAAAAAAAAGATAATTTAACTTCTTCCAAATGTTATCTGTGCTAAAAGCATAAAAACTTAGACTACAATTTATTTATTCATATTGAAGTTTTCCGGAATCGTTAATCAATTATAACAGGTTGACGTCCACAATTCCTCAGTCTAACTTCCGTTGACTAGTTTCGACTACTAAGTAGTTATTTTCAAAACGAACGTTAAAATATTCGATTCATTGAATGTCGTCAAATTTTCTTAAATACATTAAACACACATACGTAACACGTAGACATTTAACATAGTTGTGCCGGCCGGCACACGTCACTAAACTGGTCGACGATTTTACTGTTCTGTTTACACCACTCCAATCCGCTTATCAGCTGTGCCCCCAGGACTCATGTTTATTTATTTATTTTATTTTTTTACAGCAAACACCATTTTTTACAATCATTTTACATTGTGATTCATGCGACAAGATGCTTATTACATGCTGATAATGTTGTACAGATACATCAGTGATACATGCAAAGATTAAAATGAAAAGATGAAAAACACGTTCAATGAAAATGACATGCAGTTGTGATAACAATTGAAGAGCGAAAGTTGAATTATCTAGGTAATCATAATAATTAAGTAACATGCTCAGCGAATAACAGACTATAACTATAGGTAACAATAACAAATAAAATATATAACATGCTTGGCGATAAATAATCTATAACTAGTTAACAATAATAATTGGCAACAATACTGACAGTGGTGATAGATGCAATACGGAAACGAGTAATAGTGATAACAATAACAGACTAGAAATAGATAACAGTGATAATAAATGAAGTAAGCAACAGTGATAAAATTTATTAAAAAAATAACAAAAGATAGACTCTGATGCAAACAGCAGATAAATCGAAACAACCACCCGCCCCACAATGTGGTTGTGACCCTTTAAAGGCGCCACCAATAACAAAACACAACACTGTTTCATGACCAGAACACTGTAGCGAGGTCATTTTAGTGGAGTAGCCTTCGGACGTCTCGCTTAAATGAAGCTGGTGATGGCCCGAAGAAGTCGAGACGAGAAGACACATATTTGCTGGTTCTCAGGAGTCTAGAGATGCCGTGGTTACGAGCATAGTTAGTCGGCTGGTATCTCCTTGTGAAGACTGCTCTTGATCGAGTGCCCCTGGGAATGGTGAGGTCGATGTCGTTTCATAACTCAGGACAACCAATGATTCTATTTACCAGTTTATACAAGAAGATGATGTCACAGACCCGTCGTCTCACTGGAAGGGGTTGTATATCAAACTGTTGGGCCAGGGCTGTCACTGGTGCTTGCAGGAAGGGGAATCCAAGTTTAAGACCTAGCAGTCTGAGGAAACGTGTCTGGATTCTGTTTAGGATGTCCATGATATGGACACCAACTACTTGATATGGAGACCAAATGACGGAGCAGTATTCTAAAATTGGCCTTGCTAGTGACTTGTACAGGGTGACTAATGTCAAAGGAGATTTAAGGGGTCTCGTAGAGTGGTAGATAAAACCCAGCAGAGAGGATACTCTAGAAGACAAATACACCAAATGTTCAAGTGGGCCAAGTGGGCAAAGTGAGGGAGTGGTAATCACACCAAGATCCTTGATTCTCTGGACCACACTAAGACTGCTGCCATCAAATGCAATAAACATTTTCATGCACCACGCTACTTCGACTGAAGAACATGACCACACATTTCGAGACATTG